ATTACACCAAAACAATGAAAGTCATATAGCCTGGAGTCGAGGAAGTTGTTAAGAAAATACAAATGCTGGCACTAAAGTTGTAGGAACTGAAAGCATGTGTCAGCACTGTTTATAAGGAGACTCACAAGAGGCTTATCTTAGTATTTTTTTTTAGGTTATCACTGAATGAAAACACTAATTTAAAACACTCATGGAAAACTTGCAAATCCCTCAAATACACAGATCCAGAGCCTGCGGGACTGCGAGGGGATGATTATATTTGACTGAAGAGAAAATGGAAACTTAGAGAAATACAGTGACTTGTGCCAGTGTCAGGGAGTGAAAGTGGAACACCTAGGATTGGAACTCGGGTTTCCTGACTCCCAGTCTAGTGTTTACCCTGGTTTACATTTCCAAAGCAAACCTGCCCTGAACCTGCACCACGTCCCAGGCTTCTGAATTGCCATGTTGAGACCCCTTTCTTATCCATCCCATGGAGTCAACGTGAAGGCCATCATCTGCCATCCAGCCTCTTCCTGCCCCTTCCCCTGCTCCTGCCCCTTCCAGGGTCACCTGCTTAGAAATCAGTCTGGCCAAATTTAACCTACAAGTACTCTAGGCATCTCTAATGTCTTTCCCCTTACAGTTCTCTCCCCCGTTTGCTAACTACTCACCCCCATCCCAGATCCCCACTTATGGGCCATGCCCTACCAGGTCCAAGTGGCAACAGAGGATGTTCATTGCCCACTTGGCAAAGTATGTGCCCAGGGGCAGGATGGAGTCTTACTGAGCATTGCTCATGGAGGCTCCTGAGTTATGGGGCCCAGCGCCAGGTACCATGGTAGACCCTAAGCTAATAAAGTAAGTCAGGAATCATAAATAAAAGGTATAAGATTTGGAAAGAGGGAAACTACACTGAAATAGGGTGTGTAATGTTGTAGTTAAGAACATGGCCTTTAGTTTTGGACAGTTCTTAGTACAAATCCTGGTTCTGTTACTGTCCATGAAATTTTGACTAGTTAATTCCTCTGGGCCTTATTTTCTCCTCTGTAAAAGAGGAATACAGTGTCTACCGCACAGGAATATAAGAATTAAATAGAACGATGTTTGTAAAGTGCTTAATTTAGTGCCTTGTCCATAGTACACACACAGTAATAACTTCTTACTAGTAATGACATAATCATCGGTTGATCTCACCAGCTGATGTCTCAGAGAAGGACCATTTTAGGGTTGGTCTTTGCTGAATTAAACCAGAACATTCTCAGTGATTGAAAAGTTTGGGAAGGACAGGGGACTGTCACCCCTACCCATCTATCTTTATTGTCCCATAACTCCCTAGTTGTCGAAGTTAAAGGGCTAAGGGTCTGGCTGTGTTGTTTTGGGGCCAGCACACCCTTGGGTTATGAGTGTGGACAGTTGCTACACTCCTACCATTCACATTTATTTGGCAAATCAAGGAATTGTCCTTCTGGACTTGATTACCTGATTTCGTAATGAAATATCCTGTCCTACAAAATAAAACATTAGGATAATATTTCAGCAGTTTTGTGGGATGTGCTCACTAATGTTATTTTGCTATTGAGACACACTTAGAGATGATACACTACAGAAAATGGTGTTTAAAAAATCTGTTAAATATTCTCAAGAAGAACATAAAAGTGACCAGAATGAGTAGAAAAGAAAACAATACCTGCAGAAAATAAAATCAGTCAGGATTTTCTGTGATGTAGCGGTTAAAAGAATGGGTTGTGGAGCAGGATACGTGGGCTATAGTTATCTGTTGCTGTGTAACAAATTATTCCCAAAACACAATGGCTTAAAAAAAAATCTATTTTCTCATGGTTTCTGTGGATCAGGAATCTAGGCATGGCTTAGCTGGATGCCTCTGCCTCTCACGAGGGTCTCACGATGCTGCCATCAAGGTGTTGCCAGGGCTGCAGTCTCCACTGAAGGCTCAAATAGGTCAAGACCGCCATTCAGACTCGCTCTGGTGGTTGCTGGCAGGTTCCAGGGCCTCGTGGGCTGTTGGTTGGAGGCTATCCTCAGTTTCTAGCTCCATGGGCTGTGCCATAGGCTAGAAATGAGAGCACAAGAAATGGTGTTCACAGGCTTTCTGTCACCACATCTCAGAAGTGACATCCCATCACTTTTGCCACATTCGATTAGTTAGAAGCAAGTCACTAGGTCCAGTCTGCAGGCGAAGGATTCCACTAAGGTGTGAATACCAGAAGATGGGGATCATTGGGGCCATTTTGGAGGCTGCCTCCTTCATGCTGCCCTCTGGCCCCCAGTGATTCATGTCCGTCCCACATGCCGAACACACTCACCTTCTCTTGAGATCCCCATATGTCTCATTTCTTTACAGCATCAGCTCAAAGTCCAGAATCTCATCATCTAAATCCGGTCCAGATGAGCGTCAAGCTTTTGAGGACAGAGCTGTATTACCTATTGGTGTATAACAAATCACCTCAAATTTGGCGGCTTAGAACCAGCAACTTATCTCTCAGGAGGGAGGGATCACTAGAGGCCATCTTAGGGGCAGTCTACCACCTCTGTCTAGGTTCACATTCTTTCTCTGCCACCTACTAGCTGTGTGTCCTTGAGCTAGTCACTTTCCCTTTCTGCGTTTGATTTTTTTTTTCATGTGTAAAATGGGGCTAATGATGTTACTTACTTAATAGGGTTTATGTGATGATCAAGTGACATAATTTGTAAAGTAATTAGGTCACTCCCTAGCCAATAGTAAATGCTCCATAAATAGTAGTCATTTATAAGTAATATTATTAGAGTTGTTATTTTGATTATTTTTCCAAAGAAAAAAACTGAAAAGCTTGCTCAGAATATAGAGAGGAAAGGAGAAAGATGGTGAGAAAATGATAGGCCTTGGATGCAAAAGGTGGGAATTCAACCTAAAACTAGTCGCTCTGCAAGGAGTCCAAGGAGATCAGAGCATTGCTTAAAGTTTAAAAAACAAAAACTACTGAATAAAAGATATTTAAATCTGCCGGTTAAAGTATTTCACATGATCCAAGCACTATTAGAAGATTGAGATGAGGGCCGAATGTGGGGAGACATGTAGTTTAGATAAAGACCCCGTGGGAATAACTGGTGAATGCCGTAATCAGACCTGTTGGTTAATGACTGCCGGCCAGTCCAGTTTAGAAAATCACAAAGGAAGCCCGTGAGCACATTGTCTTTACAGTTGTACCCACAGCCTGGACCAGACTTAGGCCTGAGTAGGATGCCCCTCTATGCTGAACTGTGACCAACTTGAGAGGGAACAGATCCCTTGACCTCCTGAATCCTGTCTCCCCATCTGTAGCAGGTATAAAATGGTGGGGCTGGGTTAAAGGATATCTGAGGGTCTTTTATGCTGTAAACCTCAGATTCAAGGTCAGGGCCATACTTCTTAGCTTTCTGCTGTGCCCTGTAGTGTGTGGACAGACCGGATAGTCATCGTGTTTGAGTTGTACCCTTGTAGAAGTGAGATTCCAGTTGTAAATGTGGCGTCATCCTCCCTGCCTGGCCTCTTGCCTTAACTCGCCTCCTTTCTTCCCTCTCCTTCCTCCCATCAGGCCAAGTGCAGGAACATGGAGCACGCGCTGAGGGAGAAAGCCAAGGCCTTCTGGGCCATGCGGCGCTCCTACGAGGCCATTGCCAAGCACAATCAGGTGAGTGAGTGCTCAGGCTGAGTGGGAGACTGGGGACATCCAGGGCCATCAGAGAGATAGGCAGGAGTCAGTGGGCCCTGGCCAACACAGAGTTGGTGGCCTTCAGCCCTGATGGTCTAACACAGCCATGCCCTTGGACGCCGACTGTGGCTGCACAGCTATGGCCTTTTTAAATACCTGAGTCATGGCCATGCTAGCAGCCATTGGAGCAGCTTAAAAAGCCACCTGTGCCATCTGCACTAAGGTTTCAGACTAATTTCAGCATTTGTCACACCTCTCCATCTACCTGGGTACTCAAGCCAGCGATGATCTGGGATTCATTAGTTATTCCTCTTTCCCACTCATCCTCACATCCACTCCATCAGCCATCCTGTCCCCTCTGTCTACAAAATACATGCCATCTATCTGACACTCCATTTCCACTGCACCATCCCAGTCCAGGTCACCATCATTTCTCACCTGGCCCCTTACCTGGGCCCTGATTTTCCACTCTTGTTCTGCAATCTACTCTCTACAGAGTGGACTGATGTTTTAGAAAAACATATCAATCATGTCACTCCTCTGTTTAAAACTGCCCAGTGGTTTCCATGACACACACACAATACAATCCAGACTCCTCAGCATGGCCTCTGAGGCCTCATCCAATCCCTGCCTGCCTCTCAACTTCATCTCCTCCCAGGCTGAGCTGCGCTCTCTGCTCCAGCCACACTGGCCTTCTTTCTGTCCCTTAAATGAGCTAGATCTTTTTCCCAGATCCTCCCACCCTCAGTTCTTGTCATTAAAATTATAGCTCAGATGTCCCTCCTGAGAAATGTCCCTGATCATCATATCCAAAGTAGTCTTCCCTGATGACTTGCTATCATATCTCCCTGTTTTATTTTCCCCATAACACTTCATTACCTGGAATTAACATTTTGTTTTCTATTTATTTTTTAATCTTCCATTAAAATATAATGAAAGCAGAAGACACTAGTATCGAGTATTCTTGACACAATAGATGACCAATAAATGTTTGTTAATCGAATGAATGAATTGGCTTCCTTCTTTCCCCAATTCCTTTGTTATACCTTGGCAACTTCTCATCTGCATCCTGTGAGGCTTGGCCGCCTGGTTTCTGACTAGTTATCCTGGCTCTGCTCCATCACTTCCTGGGCAGGTCCTTCTAATAACTACTAGTGGGCTCATCACAGCCTCAGCTAAGACACACTTGACTCAGCTGCCTGGTACTCCCCTAAAGAGCTGGCCAGGGCCCTCCAGTGCCTTGTCTCCATGGGAAAGAACCTTATTAACATCTGGCCAAGGGCAGAGCTGGTGGAACAGAGCAGAAGGAAGGATTCTGGAAAGTTGGTGGCCGGGGCAGTAACTGCACAGCACACCTATTTTCAGATCCAGGCTTGTTCTCCAACAGATCCCTCACCCCTCCAAGCTAATCTCTCATCTATAAAAAGAGGACAGTTCCCTCTTACTGGGATTATTTTACATGTTCAAATGAGATAATGCCCAAGTGAAAAGTCATTCAGTGTTTCTCATATCATACATCAACAAACTGGTTTGAGAGATATTTTTCACTTTTTCAGTGAACCATTTTGTCATCATATTGTCAGAGCCACAAACACATGTTGAATTTCCAGCCTAAACACAAGATTACTAACATGTGTAGCTAGAGCACACATTTTGAGTTGGTTTCCCAGCAGTCATCATGGAATCCTGGAGCTTCATCTCTGTGCTTGAACTTGATTTCCTTTAGTGTGGGACCACAGTTGGGATACTTGGGGAGTGTCCATATGTCCAAGTGACATCGCTTTTCTGCCCATCTCTGACGGTGTGGAACTCTTAACATGGTCAGGTGTGAAGATTCCAGGATTCCAGCTTGATTAATGCTTTTCCTCTCAATCCAGTCAGTCCAGGTTAATGAGTGAAGTGAAGGTTTTGTGTTTCCCACTTAGCTGCAAGGCTGCCATTGCCCGCAGTGAGGGTGGCAAGAGTTGACTTTGCACTGGCTGGTTTTTCCTGCCTACTCTGTTTTTTATCTTCCTGTGTGATAAGAATCATCCCAGATTTTACTCTCCCTCACTATACATTATCAGTCTTTTTAGCCTGATATTTCAGCAGTACCTTATTTGCATTTCTTTGATTATTAAGTTCGTACATTCTTTCACAAGTATAATAGCCATTTGTAATTCTGTGAATACCAATTCACAATCTTTTTTTCTTGGAATATTCTTTTCTCCTTGTGGATTCATAAGAGCACTTTGTATATTAAGAAAAATTTGTGCTTATATACATATATATAGATGTATGTGGGAAATATTTTTCCTAGCTTGTCATTCCTTTTTAGTGAATCATTTTCACTTTTTTGGTCATTTTCACTTTTTCAGTGAATCGTTTTATCATATTGTCAGAGTCATAAACATTGAATTTTCAATCCAAAGATGTGGATTACTTAACCTGCCATTGCTAGGGCACACATTTTGAGGTGTTTTCTCAATAGTCATCATGGACTTGTATTTATGTATTTAACATTACTAGAAGTCTCTTGCCATATAAAACTTACTTTTACATGCATTTAGTCATCTTATTCTTTTTTTGAGGCTTCTCAGTTTCATATTATGGTGAGAAAGGTCTTTCTCATTCCAAGATGAGAAATTTTTTTCTGCTTTTTCTTTGAGTACATTTGTGGTTTTATTTTAACTTTTTAAAGGCTTTTGTAGTTATGATTATGAGTATGCATATTGTTAATTCCATTTTAAAATAAATACTTCCTACTATTCTTTGTAAGCCTCTTGATCAGACTAACTTCAAGTCCTAAGATTGGAAGACAAATAATTTTTAAAAATTGCTGCTACTTAACAACAATTCATTTCTGTGATGCAAGATTTTCCTTGCTATTGTGCAGTCTAAACAAGATACAGAATAGGACTACAGTTGTCATGTATCAACAGCGATTTCAGTTTTTAAATTAAAAGAACCTCATTACCTGTTTGACTTATTTTAAATTGAAACTTGTAAATTTGTTCTAAGAAAGCTGCATCTATATTTTATCCATTTGGGTTCTACGTTTAGTTTCTTTGCTAATTTCTGAGAGGCACTGGGCTGGGTGACGGCTGAGGTTTCCTCCACGTCTGATCCTCTGTGGCTTCCTCCCGCTCTCTGCTGTAGGTGGAGGCTGCCTGGCTGGAAGGGCGAATCCGCCAGGAGTTTGATAAGCTTCGTGAGTTCCTGAGAGTGGAGGAGCAGGCCATCCTGGATGCCATGGCCGAGGAGACGAGGCAGAAGCAGCTTCTGGCTGAGGAGAAGATGAAGCAGCTCGCGGAAGACACAGAGGCTCTGGCCCATGAAATCGAACGGCTTCAGATGGAGATGAAGGAGGACGATGTTTCTTTTCTCATGGTGAGGAGCTCTTCACTCAGTGACAGGGACCCGGCTTTCAGGAACCAGAGGGGAGCTGGAAACCAGCGACCCTGGCCAACCCAGTCTTCCCGTAGCTTGTAGATCCGGGGCTGGAGAGGCTTACAGACCACATCCTCTGCTTGGGTCAAGAGGCTGAAAAGATTTTAATCAGAGCAGAGTTCCTTAGGGCCTCTTCGTTTCTCTCTACCTCTCCTTTTCTTCTTCTCCCTCTTTCTCTCTCTTACATCCACTCTTGCTCTCTCTCTCTTCTCTCTCTACTCCTTAATACAGAGAAGTACTTTTTTAATAAACTCTTTATTTTGGATTAATTTTAGACTTACGGAAAGTTGCAAAGACAGTACAGAGTGCTCCTGTATACCCTTCCCCGCATTCCTCCCATTGTTAACCCCTCACATTACCTCGTGGCTCGTTCGTCTGAACTAGAAAACTGACACTGGCGCATTATGATTAACTGAACTCCAGACTTATTTGGGGTTCACAGGTTTTCCACTGAAGTCCTGCAGTCCAGAGCCCCACATTGCATTCAGTCGTCACATCTCCCAGCCTCCACTGGTCTGTGATGGCTTCTTATTCCTTTTCTGTTTTTCATGACCTTCGCAGCCCTGAGTAGTCCTGGCTAGATGTCCTGTAGTATGTTCCCCAATCTGGGTTTGTCTGATGTTTTTCTCATGATTAAATTGGGGTTGTAGGATTTTACAAAGAATACAAAATGGAATATTTTTAAATTTTACAATTATTTAAATTTTTTGATTTGAAGATGATGTTTTGGTATTCTCTGTTTTCTTAAGAAAAGGATGACTCCATTCTCTCTTTACAAACAATAGATAGGGGGATAACTTCGTAAACTATATTAATGTCTAACCAATGTATAGTATACCCGAAACTAGTATAAAAAAATCAGATGAAGCATAAAAGAACCTGGCACTATATAATTGTTCAATAAATGTTATTACCATTCTTAAGTATTCTGAATAGACAGAAATTAGGTTTACAAGGCAGGGCAGAACTTGGCGCTGTCTTATGAAACTTTACAAAAGGGAAGAAGCCTCATTCAGATAAGACGTTGTCTTTATGCTTCCCTAAAATATTGACACAAAGAAATTCTGAATATGTACAAAATGAAATCACTTAGAAAGTTTCTTTTAAAATGCTAAATTATAAAGTCACCTAAACAATAGCTACAACCTTTTCATGTGTGTATGTGTAAATAGTTTTCATTTATATACTATAGACCACTGGAATTTGTTTAAACAAATAGTTTAAGATAAGGCCCCCATCACTTCATTCTGGGGAATGTCAGTCTTTCTTTAAAATTATCTTGTGGATTATATAAATAGTAAAATTAAATTAAGATAAAAAACAGTATAGATTTTCTTTTCTTTTCTTCCTCGTATTGATTTCAACCCCTGCCCCTCCCCTGCCCTGAGTCACTGTGTCTTTATGGAGGTTTTGTGACTCAGATGCTGTTTTAGAAATCAGTATCTCGCTTACGTGGACAACAGTGAACTCTCTGGAAAGGGAAGTCCTTGTAGAGTGGAGTGGGAAGAGAGGGACATCCTCCATGCAGGCAGGATGTCACATCCTGGCTGGGGACCTTTGTGAGTTCTCTGTCTCATACAGAGCTCTGAACCATGATGTCTCCTGTCTCCAAAATGCTCCAGGCAATAAAATCATTTAATGGGTTCTAAAATTTGGATTCCGTGTGTTTCTGTCTAGGAAATTGAGAATGTCATCTCGCCCAGTACCCAGTATGCTTTCAGGGATGGTTTTGCATCTCCCTCTCCCCATTCCTCTGCTCTCTCCCCTCTCCCTTCCCACCTCTACACACACACACACACACACACACACACACACATGCTCTATTAAGATATAATTCACATACTCTACAGTTTACTCATTTAATAAGTACAGTTCAGTGGGTTTTTAGTATACTCACAGAGTTACCACAATCAATTTTAGAACACTTTCATCTTCAAAAACAGAAGCCCTTTAACTATCACCGTCTTCCACATGAACCCTTAGCAATCACTAATCTACTTTCTGTCTCTAGATTTGCCTATACTGGACATTTCATATCAGTGGAATTATACAATATGTAGCCTTTTGTGACAGGCTTCTTTCACTCACCATAATGTTTTGAAACTTCATGTTGTAGCATGTTTCAGTACATGGCTGAATAATATTCCATCGAATGGATATATACTACATTTTCTTCATCTGTTTATCAATTGATTGACATGTAGGTGGTTTCCTCTTTTTAGCTATTATGAATAATATTGCCATAAACATTTGTGTACAAGTTTTTAAGTGGACACATGTTTTCAGTTCTCTTGGATATGCACCTAGGAGTAGATTTGGTGGATCATATGGTAATTCTAGGTTTAACCATTTGAGAAACTACCAGGCTGTTTTGCAAGAGACTGCATTATTTTATATTCCCACTAGTAGTGTATGAGGATTGCAGTTTCTCCACATCTTGGCTAACACTTACCTGTCTGTTTTATTATAGCCATCATAATAGGTGTGAAGTGGTATCTCACTGTGGTTTTGGTTTACGTTTCCCTGATGGCTGATGATGCTGATGATCTTTTCATGTACTTGTTGGCCATTTGTATACCTTCTTTGGGGAAATGTACATTCAAGCCTTTGATCATTTTCAAAATTGGGTTGCTTGTCTTTTTGTTGTTGAATTGTAAAATTTTGTTATATATATACATGGATACTAGACCTTTTTCAGTGATATGATTTATCTTCCATTCTGTGACTTATCTTTTTACTTTCTTGATGACACCTTTTGAAGCACAAGAATTTTTAATATTGATGAAGTCCTATTTATCTATGTCTTCTCTTGCTGCTTGTGTATTTGGTGTCATGTCTAAGAAGCCATAGCCTAATCCAAGGTCACAAGTATTATAGTTTTATCTCTACATTTAATTCTTTGATCCATTTTGAGTTGATTTTTGTATATGGTGCAAAGTAGGAATCCAACTTCATTCTTTTGCATGTGGATATGCAGTTGTCCTAGCACCATTTGTTGAAGTCCATTCTTTTCCCATTGAATGGTCTTGGCACCCTTACAGAGAACCAATTGAGAGTTTATTTCTAGACATTCGGTGTCCATTGGTCCATTTGTCTGTTTTTCTGTTAGTACCATACTGTCTTGTTTACTGTTGCTTTTAATAAGTTTTGAAATAGAGAAATGCGAGTCACCAACTTCATTCTTTTCCAAGATTGTTTTGGCTATTCTGGGTTCCTTGAATTTCCATATGAATTTTAGGATTACCTTCTCGATTTCTACAAAGAATCAAGCTGGAATTTCGATAGGAATTGCATTGAATCTGTAGATTGACTTGGAGGGGGTATGGAAATCTGAACATTATTAAGTTTTCCGATTCACAAACATGGAATGTATGGCTCTTTTTGAGATCACAAATTGATGTTTTCTCTGTGTGTATGTTTGTGTCTGTGATTTTTTCTGTTTCAGAAACACAAGAGCCGAAAACGCCGGTAAGTTGCCAAGGCTGATGGAGGGGAGGCAAAGAGCAGTCAGAACTACCAGGGGTGCAAACTCCAGTGGCTCCCTCCAGGGCCAGGCAGGTAATGAAGCCAGCTGGGTGTAATACAGAGGGAGTGCTGGGGACTGGTGAGGTGGAGAGAGTCCTCTTTCAAGGCATCCCACTGGCGCAGTGTTGTTTTCCTGAGTGTGGAGAGAGAATGTGCCATCCTGCACATGGCTCGTAGTTCTCAGTGGGTTATCCCAACATTTTGACTTGTTTCTTAGCCCCTTCCCTCTGAGAGCCTCAGGACATATACTGGTTTGTGTTGATGGTTGTTGGGTTCACAGGGATGGATAAGGAAGAACTATGCCCCAGTCAGAGCCGCACAGAGATGGACGAGAGCGCTTTGAGCAGTAGTGAGTTCCCCGTCACTGGAGGTGTTCAAGCAAAGGCCAGTGACACCTTCAGACTGTTGCACTGGAGGACCCTTAAGGTCCCTTCTGACTCAGACATCCTATGTGCAGATGTGTAAGTGTGATTTCTGCCCACAAGCTTGGGAACCATGACTGAGAACCTCCTGTTTATATTTATCCCCGCTGGGGCAGGGTGAGCCCGAGTACTGAATCCTGAAGGGGTATGAGCCACCAAGTTTTGATTCCGTGCTCATCTCCTATCACAGCCCAGTCTGGGTTTCCCTTGGGTAAGGTGGCTGGGGAATTTAGGCCCGAGGCAAGGGAGCAAGTCTTGTCTGTTAAATCCAGCTGACCCTGTAAGGCCCAGGATGCATGGCCCTGGCCCTGCCCACCAGACCAATTCTCCCTTCCCAGCCTCTTCTGCACCATGGAACCAGAGCCCGTCCAGCCCGGCATGCTCATCGATGTCTGCAAGTACCTGGACTCCCTGCAGTACCGCGTCTGGAGGAAGATGGTCATGTCTGTTGAATCTGGTTAGTGGGGGTGCAGGCAGGTGATACAGGCAGTGGGGAGAACTACATGCAAGGCAGAGAACCAGCTGAACTCACTTCTTCCAGCCTCCCACCCCACTGGACCTTGTCATCCCTTGACTCCTCCCTTCTCCAGCTTCATTCAGACAGGCCCCCGGCACCCTGTTCCTCCACTCTTGCCCCACTGATCAAACCCCTCCTGGCAGAACTCCTTTCTTTTTGGGTCCTGACACTTGGCCACCTCTTCAGAAAGAGCAACTGACTTCCCTACTTAGAAACATTGTGTATATAATGAAATATCTCAGTCCATGACGACTTCTCCTAGGGTGAAATCAGCCCATATGAGTCACTATGTCATGTACTGTTGACTGAATGTCTGTGTCCCCTCCCGCCCAAATCATATGTTGAGGTCCTAACCTCCAATGTTTTAGTATTGGGAGGTGATTAGGATTGGATGAGGTCATGAAGGTGGAGCCCTGTGATGGGATCAGTGCCCTTGGAAGAAGAGACACAAGAGAGTTGGCTTCTTCTCGTTCTCTCTTGTGAGGACACAGCAAGGTGGCCATCTGTAAACCAAAAAGAGGGCTCTCACCAGAACCTGGCCATGCGGGGTGCCCTGATTTTGGATTTTCAGCCTCCAGAACTGTGAGAAATAAATTTCTGTTGCTTAAGCCACTGTCTGTGGTACTTTTGTTGTAGTAGCCCAAGCTAAGATCTCATGATTTTACAAGAAGAAATGTTGGTGTATGAACACCAGGATCCCTGCCTGTATTGGCCTCCTGTGGCTGTCGTAACAAAGGACCACAAACTGGATGCCTTAAAACGACAAATTTATTCTCCCACTTCTAGAGGCTTGAAGTCCAAAATCAAGGTGTCAGCAGGGCCACACACCCTCTGAACGCTGCAGAGGAGGATCCTTCTTTGCCTCTTCCTAACTTCTGGTGTTTGCCAGCAACCCTTGGCTGGGCTGCAGCACTTTTATTTCCGCCTTTGTGGTCACATGACCTTCCCCCTTCATGTGTCTGGTGGCTCCTCTTTTTGTAAGGACAATAGTCATTGGATTAAGGGGCCACTGTACTTCAGTTTATTTACATCTAAAACAAATAAGGTCGCCTTCCGAGGTACTGGGGGTTAGGACTTCTACGCACATTTTCTGGCTGAGCACATTTCAACCAATAACACCGCCCCTCAGCCCAAGGCAGCTCCCTCCTTGCACTGGGTCCAGGTGGGACACTGTTGGTGAGTTCAGGGGACTTGGGGCATCACGGGCACGGCAGAGGATGGAATGTTAGGTTTGCTGATTTTCCCCAATTTTGTGCTCTGTCCTCAGTGCCCTTCAGCTTTGACCCCAACACTGCAGCTGGCTGGCTCTCCGTGTCCGAAGACCTCACCAGTGTCACCAACCATGGCTATCGCGTGCAGGTCGAGAACCCTGAGCGCTTCTCCTCAGCGCCCTGCCTGCTGGGCTCACGTACCTTCTCCCACGGCTCCCATGCCTGGGAAGTGGACCTGGGGGCGCTGCCCAGCTGGCGGGTGGGGGTGGTGCGCATGCGCCAGGACACCGGCGTGGAGGGCCACTCACACAGCTGCTACCACGACACCCGCTCAGGCTTCTGGTACGTGTGCCGCACGCAGGGGGTGGAGGGTGACCACTGCGTGACCTCGGATCCAGCCACGTCGCCCCTGGTCCCCGCCATCCCTCGCCGCCTGCGTGTGGAGCTGGAGTGCGAAGAGGGCGAGCTGTCCTTCTACGATGCCGAGCGGCACTGCCACCTCTACACTTTCCACGCCCGCTTTGGGGAGGTGCGGCCTTACTTCTACCTAGGGGGCACGCGAGGGGACGGGCCCCCCGAGCCCCTGCGCATCTGCCCCCTGCGCATCACGGTCAAGGAGGAGCTGGATGGCTGAGGCTGGCCCCGGAGGCTTGCGCCATGATCCTGCTGCTTTTCCGCCCCTCTTCCTGGAGCCCACACTCGGCTGGGCTCCTCTACCACCTGCTTTCTTGACAGGATCTTGCAACTGACCTATTTGGTCCTTCTCCATGGCTCCAGGTTCCAATCCTCCCCCTTCATTTTTGGTTCCTTCTCCAATCACAGTAGACAGCCCTTCAGGAGGCAGCCAGTGGCCAGGCTCTTACCAGAGTCGTGGCATATTCTGAATTGTGAATTTTCTGAATCCTAATTCCAGGATTTCTGGCGATGATGTTTGCCTCTAAAATAGACCTGTTTTAAAACATAGCTTTTAGTATTATCCAGGTATGGTGAGGCCAACAGACCACGAGACAACTGCCATTGGAAAGAGTTACTAACAGTTCCTAAGAGGAGGGGCTGTGCCATGGGAGCCACACAGCAAAGCACCAGGGCCCCTCAGAGCCAGAGGGAGGGTAAGGGGAGAACATGGGCCAGAGACTCTTGTGGTTTCCATGGGAAGGAGCAAAGGAGGCAGGTACAGGGTGGACAGGTTTAGGATTTGCTAGTTTGGCTAGTCTTGGGGTAGGGGCAGCAGTTCTTCATGGTCAGTGAGCTCCAGATGTCAGAGTATCAAGAATACAGAATATAATAAAATATAGTTAATACAGGGCCATAGCCATGGCTTTGGGGCATGACCAGGGCTCTGCTCCTCTGTCACGTGAAATCAGCATTTTAAAACTCTCACAGTGCCTCCTCCTTGGGGCCCACAGGGCTGGAGGCAGGGCTGCCCATCAGATCAGCTTTGATGTATGTGTTCACTCTTCTTGGACTATTTTCTCTGAACAGAAGGTTCCAGAGCACTTAAAAAACACAATTTTAAAATCATGCTTTAGACTCATTCCCTCTCTGGTCCTTGGTTTCCTCACCTATAAATGAGACAGCAGGACTGGAAGAGGATATGCTTCTGTAATTGCTGTGGGGGATATTCCTCTGGTCACTGTTACAAAGGTATGGGAAGGGAACGAAAGAGGAGCCCTTCTTGGTTAGGAAGGAAGGAAGAGGATGCAGTCTAGGGGTATCCCGGGAGTGTGAAGGAAGGGAGGTCCCCCTTGTCTTTGGAGACCTCAACCTGCTCATTTTCGCTCTGCCACCTTTTGTGTTTTCATCCCGATTTCCTCTCCCTCTGCCATGCCGACACACTTTACACCTCCACCTTTCCTGCCTCACACATGCCTACAGGTAATTTTTAATGGTCAACTCATCATGTCCTGGGGACGACATTGTAAAAGGAAATACTTTCCTGTAGGAGCAACGTTCTCATTGGGGACACGTTCGTGACCAAGGACTCACATCCTTTCCCCTGCCCGTGCCCCCTCGGTTCACAGAAATGGACATTTTAAACAGAAAATGGTAACTCAGAACTATAAATTGGTCATAAAAGTGATGTGTACCTCGATAGGGGCCCAGGAAGGACATGCTGGGAAATGCCACTGAGTAAAGGCAAACCGGTTGGAAGCGTGAGGGTGTTGGTAAATTCGTGAGCGGGCCCCTCTAAAGGTGCTCAGACGCAGAAGCGCTCAAGGCACTTTGAAACCAAACATATCTGAGGCCAGTGCGCACTCTCTATGATAAAGTATTTATCTAGCCCATCTAATATAATTTCTATATAATTATCTTGACCTGAAATTATTTTGTTAGTTATAATAAACTTTTAAAAATGTTTTTTATTTCCACCTTAGATGTTAGATGATTTTTTTTTTTTTAACGGGGATCATTTAGATAGCCTAGGACCATTTTTACAAAAATAAAAATGATATTTTAGCTAAAGCCCACTTTCCTTTTTGACATTTTCCTTTTAGTGTTCTTGTAAGCAAAAGTTCATCCATGTTGTAACATGTGTTTGACTTTATTCCTTTTTATTATCAGATAATTTTCTGTTGTATGCATAGACTACATTATATTTTTCCATTCAGTTGGTGGACATTTCGATTGTTCCACTTTTTTTTTTAACTATTGCGAATAATGCTGCTATGAATATTTTTGTCCAAGTTTTTGTACGGACATATATTTTCTACTCTCTTGGAAAATATATTGGCTGGATCATGTGGTGACTGTTTAACCTTTTAAGGGACTACCAGCCCGTTTTCCAACATGGCTGGACCATTTTACATTTTTACCAGCAGTGTATGAGGGTTCCAGTTGCTCCATACCCTTATCAAGCCCTATTATTGTTCTCTTTTAACTTAGCCATCCTATTGGGGTTGAAGTGGTATCTCATTGTGGTTTTGATTTGCATTTCCCTGATTCCTAATGACATTGAGCATCTTTTCATGCGCTTATTTGCACTTGCATATGTTTTTAGGAGAATTGACTTCAGATCCTTTGCCCTTTTTTAATTAGGTTATTTGTATTTTTAATTACTGAGTTGTAAGACTTCTTTACATATCCTAGATAGAAGTCCCATATCAGATATATGATTTGCAAAAACAGTCTCCCAGATTATGGATTGTCTTTTCACTTTCTCAGTGATGTCCTTTGAAACACAAATGTTTTAATTTTAACGTTGTTCAGTTTGTTTATTTTGTTCTTTTGTTGCTTGTGTATCCCAGAACTGTCACCTTCGACATTGCCCTTAAGCCCATATAGTTCAAGTTCTGGATTTTGGCTTGGACGAGAGGCAGTCGTCTTGTGGACAGGGAGCTCTAGTCTGAGAGTCTGTTCTTTCTTCCCTTGAACCCTTTCCTACCCTTGTGTTCCACTCGCTCATCTCCTTTGCACTCTCCGACTCATCACTACATCCTGACAGCAGCCCACCAGGCAGCTTCCCCTTCTCCAGCTTCTCCCACTTTCAGTCTGTTCTACGTGCTGCTGCCAGACGCACCAGCCTTCAGTCTCACCTCTCATCCAAATGACCCCACCCCTACCTGCCCAGGTACAGTTAGTTCTCCAGGGCAGGATTCGGAGCTCCTCTTTCTCCAGCTCTGCCTCTCGACCTGAAGTTCCCTGACTTCATCACATGTACATTCCAAACAGCCCAGGCTTCTTGTTGCCTTTTCAGATGGCTAGCTGTTTGTGGAATGTCCTGACATCTGTTACTTTGTCTGTTACTTACGTTCCGTGTCTCCTTGGGCACACTCTTTGCTTTCCTGAGCTCACGTCCCCATCTGTAAAAATGGGGATAACCACCACCTCATGCAGATCTGATGAAGCATGCCTGCACAGTGCTGTCTCACGTGAGCACTTTACAATAGCAGCCACTGGAAGTGAGTTGTGAGCACCAAAGGAGATCACGTAAGGTACCTCGTTGACCTCCGTGGCTCCCTGTCACTTCTGCATCGGCCGCCAGTTATTTTTTGGTCAGAATTAGGTGCACAGTGGCCATCTCCTTGCTTGCTTCCTCCTGCTTGTGGAGGATGAAGTTTCTCTCAACAGAGTCTGAGGGTCTGTTAGTTGACCATGACCCCCATGGGTAGTAAAGTGACAGTGTCAGGATCCTTGGCACACAGAATGACTTTGCTACCCTGGAATTTTCCCAGCTCTTTAGAGTGACATTCGAGAGCCGCCCCCTGCATTCCTACCCACCTTTGCCACCATTCTCTGAACAGACTGTGCCCAGCCTTCTTGAGCCCTAGGCACACACACACCCCTGGGAGCTGCCTCTTGTGGCTTTTCCTTGCAGGGCCTTCATCCTCCCTTACTTACCTGCAGTTGTCTGTCTTGGCTCCGTGGTACCTTCCAAGACCTGCCCAGGGCTCTTTGGCTGTCACTGCATGTCGTCCATTCTGTTGGAAGGGCTCTTGGTAGCAAAGCTGCCTTTGCTGTGTCCTCTGTGCATGGAGACTTGAGTGCAGGAACCTCACCATCTTCATCCTTCTACTCGTAGTTCCAGGTCCGCTGCTGGGGAGTAACAAATGATTAGTGAGTGTGTGTGTGCACTGGAGTTCAGGGGAGCTGTCCTCAAAGTTCACAAAACTGGTAGCATCTTTAGTAGAGAGAAGGAACCTAAATCCAGATTCCTGGACCCAGACACCAATCAGATCATTTACGAGCTGCCTGAACTTTTTGAACCTCTGCTCTCTTGTCTAAAATGAGAATTAGAATATCTACCTCAGGCCATTGTGGGGATTGAATGAGGTCTTTTTTTTTTTTTTTTTTTTCCAATACAAATGCCGTTTATCTTGAACTTTTTTTATCTTATCTATAAACTTAATACATGTTGGCTAATTCGCCAGAGACACAAGCTAAATAAAAGGCTGAGACCTAATCACAGGAATATAGAAGGCTTCTCTTCCCCCTCCACTGTACCTCACCATAACAGGTTTGGTAGGGGTTTTTTTTTTTTTTTTTTTTTCCAATACAAATGCCGTTTATCTTGAACTTTTTTTATCTTATCTATAAACTTAATACATGTTGGCTAATTCTTCAGAAAGTGGGAGGTTCTGAATGTTGACATCATGATTCACACTAATAAAGAATCCCAAAGGAAATTGAGAAATGTAAGTTATCTGTATTGGGAGTGCCTAAATTTCTTGAGATTTTTAACAAGGTTATGTTCATGAAACTTATGTTTATGGAAATTTTCAATAACATGGAAAAATGGTTGTGTTGTAGTAACCAAGAAAAATAGGATTCAGAGTCATACATACAGACATGCAACACAAAAAGACAAGTGAGATCTTGTTTCTAATTTGTGTATTGTTTGATTAGATAATCCATTTACATGGCTGCAAATACCAAAAGTACAGAAAGTACTAGAAGAGTCTCCCTGACTTTTGCCCAAGCACTTGGCTCCCCTCCTTGTGGGCAATCATATTACCATTTAAAAAAATCCTTCTCGAGATATTCTATGCACAGCAATATTCTGTTCATGAGTATATCTGGTTCTCCCAATACACTGTAATTTAAGAGCAGATACTCTAGATCTGTATCCCTAAGCAACCCAACAAGAGGAGAAAAAATAAAGTGTTATTAAAATAATTTCTTCCCCTCAAGGGGGAGGTTTGTCATAGATGTTTTCATGCAGTCAGTTCAACTGGTGGATTTAGCTCTTTGTTCTTTTTTAAATATTTTACCCAAGGATTTTAAAACGAGAAAACTAAGTAGAATTTAGCTGCTCTTGGCATTAGAAGGTAAACCTTAAACCTGAGACCTCAACATACATTTTAAAAATCTCAGTCCTCACAAAGGTGTTTAGTGACCTAAGTAGCCTAGTGGTTAAGAGGTCGGGATATGGAATTAGACAAGCTGAGTTCAAACTCTTGACTCAACCACCGTGTGACCTTGGGAGTTACTTAACCTCTCGGTGCCTTAGTTTCATCATGTAAAAACTGGAAATAATAAAATACCTTAAGATTAATGGAGCTAACCTACCTCATAAGGTGGT